CATGTTGTTTTTATGTTTCGCAATGAGTCCTTTGTGTACTGTAAAACCTGTCAGATTAGGTTGTCTCTGGAAAGCTGCAGCGGTAATGTTATACCCTTAAGAATACGTTTAAGGAGTTAAGCTTTAATAAGATAGCAATGCAAAATCATCAGCACAATACAAATGGTTTGACTTCTCTCCTGAGGTTGTCCCTCTAACTTTTCTATATTTCCATTTAAACTTAAATGAATAGATGAATATACATTTAAAAATAAAATAGTCCTTTTCCATTTGTAAACCTCCATCATAGGGCTTTACTCAGTTCATGTTCGATATGGCAGGCTCAAACTACACTATGTCCTTATGGCACTTTAGTACATATTTTGGCTCTTCTTTTTTTTGTATCTGTGAACTTTCATCATTTAGCAAACATTGCCATCCCCATCACACACTGTAAAGCCAAAATTGGTTTGGGAGATGACCAACATTTTAGCAATGTCCCCAACAACCATTACAGGCATTTTATTCTATCAGTCAGATGTGAGGCTCATTTTCCTGTTAATGTTGATAACCGAGGCGGATTCTGCAGCAAATGCCCAGGGCTATGAAGGATGTACTAAGGCTTAATCAGTGCTTTCACAGATGTGTGTGTGTGTGTGTGTGTGTGTGTGTGTGTGTGTGTGTGTGTGTGTGTGTGTGTGTGTGTGTGTGTGTGTGGGGTTAAAAGGTTTCTTAAATTGTGTCTATTTTCTATTACATTTCATGGAAGAACAAACTATAAAATATTTTTCAATATAATCCAATCCTATCCAATAAAACTAAAGCCGTGGCCGCACTTCAACGTGCCCTATTGAGTTACCAACAAAAGTAGTCAGATTGCATTATTATTTAAGTGTTTACAACTAATTACACCTGCAATATATTTTTTTAGATGAGAATAATAGTAAACAAAGTAAGAAAAAGTCAAATATCTGTAAAAATACATGTGAGATTAAGTGAAAAAATACCCAAAGACTCCTAAAACTAGGGCAGCATTCGCCTTCAGCGCTCATGGAGTTGAGGCAAACATTTTTCCAACTGAAATAAACCAACCATAAAATAAGTTTATGATTTTACTGATTCTTAGGATGACAATCATCCCCACACCCTCTTGGGTATAAAGCCCTATTTTCTCCCCAGAGAAATAGGGATTTAGTGTAAGCTGGTGCAGTATTGTATGTAACATACAATTGCTTATTTTCATCGACAGCACCAGGCATTCGTTGTCTCAGGATTTGTCCTAGGACTCTTCCTCCTGGGGTCACACTTCACTCCAGATATAACCTTTTGTTAAATGTGTCAGTCCAGGCTTATGGTTCCCTGCTATCTAATCTGGAGTTGCCTTCAATATGTGCCCGTGGTCTTGTATCTCGCTCATAAACGGTCCCTTACATATTTGTATCATCCTGCGCCTGTGGAGTCATACTGGTGGCGTCTGAGCTCAAAGCAATGATTTAAGTGTTTGATCAGCTGTTGCTGGAGGGTTGCTGTTAGAGCTGTTCAGGCATATGTCACCAGCACCAGAGGTTTAAAGCCTTCTTCCTGTCGTCGAATCGCAATTTGTTTGAGTTACACGGTCTGGCTCAGTATGATGACTAATGTGTTTAGCTCCCATACTTTGTGATATGAAGCTGTGAGACTTGCTTCCCACAACCATTATTACTTTGATATCAAGCCTAAGAGCTTGTTTAAATCTGCACTCCATTTTTTTCTCCTCTGCTTCTCAGATGCACAAAACATTGAATTACAATCTAAACATATGAAGAAGAGTATGTCAATTATTGTTATTTACTGATTAGTTTATAATATGCAAGTGCACAACCCTTTGTGTTGACTGAGTATTGTGGGTTTTTCAGAGGTTGTGCACGCATGCTTGTGTGTTGTTTGAGTGTAGTGTACATGACAGTTTGACACGGCTCAGACATCGCTGCTCTCTGAGTGCTTTACTATTTACTGCCCTTTCTCAAGGTTGTGTTTGTTTGCATACAGTAAATAAACACGTCCTTTTTTTCTTGTTGCAGTGCATAATAATTTGCATGATTGGCTTGTAGGAATTGCGCGATGCATTTTTATTAGTTTTAATATTTGATGCTGAAAGGGTCGTACTGTTGTGAATATAACTGTACAGAGCCCTGTTAACCTTTAGGACACAACAAAAGTAATTCAGTACAGGTTGATTAGTTTAGAATGTATTGCCTCATTCCTTGAATACAAGGAAACATTTGTACCTAGCCTGTAAATACATGGCGTGCACAGATGCTATTTACCTGAGCTGCATTGTTGAGGTTACACCCTTTTGATTTAATAAGAATATATCCCCAAACAGGGCTCAACGCTAACTTTTAAAAGTATTTGCTAGGCTGGCAACCAGGCTTCAGCTTTTGGTTGCCATTTTTAGTCACCTTATTTTTTAAATAATTCAGATACTATACAGTTATACATCAACTTAATGATGAAAACGTGACACAAAAGAATGTTCAAATGCTTTACAAAAGTAATTAACACAATTATTTGAAACTTAAGTGGTAGTAAACTTGTCCACCCTCAATTGCTGGTATACAAAACACCAGTAGTGCAGCTGTTGTCATGTTCTTCACAGATCCCTCAAACATGAATTGAGCAAGTCTCTAGTTTTGTCGTAAGTAGTTGGTGTATCTATTTCCCAAACAGCAGTACATACTGTATCTGTGTAAAGCCCTCACAGTACCCATACAACGGTGAAGTCTCAGGTATCTCCTATCCATATTTTATAGGTTTGTTTTTACTGATTTATATCATTGAAGGTCACTTATATAATATACAAATAAGGACAGCATTGTAGATTCCCTTGTGTATTACTCCTTGTACTACAGACACTGATAAAGCAGCCTTTTAGTTAGTATGATGAAATAGTTGCAGTCACAAAATGCACCAAAACAAAAAAAGATTATCTATTTGGCTCCACTACCGCGGAACTGTCATGCTTCCTTGTCCGATGACACAGTGTCCTTGTTCACCCACTGTTAAGCAATCTGTTGCCTTTGCTTTATTCTTTAGAAAGATAATGGCCTTACCTGACCACAGGGAAGCATTTGGAGTGGAGCTATCATCCTTCCCTGTCTGTCGCCCCATGCTACAATATACTACACACAATAACAACGGGAACATCAGAACAATTCCTTTAATGCACATGTAATGTCACGTTGACATTTTACACCATGACTCTCTGTTGTTTGTACTTATTCTTGTTTTTGAATACATCTTTGCAGCTGATTGGTTTTAAAATCAATCAGTGTCCTCTCTTGATCTGAGCTCACCTAACCAGCCTGCACAGTGCCTGTGTTTAGCGTAATGCTGCTCCCTGCTATGATGGCTGTGTTGAATATTTATATGTGCTGACTGAATTAGAAAATAGGGCCCTGGAATACATTATGTACCTGCACACATAACAGATGCTAGAAGAACACTTTATGTTCATTACCTCACTGCGACTGGCAGATGGCTAGGGATAACATATTGCATACATCAACTCTAACCTGTTTGCACTGGCATGGTTAGACTGGACGTCCTCTAAGTACTTACCAGTTACTGTGATTCTCCTCCCATTCCATTTAAAAAAAAATATATATATTTCATTTTCAAGATTTTCAATACAACAAAAATATATATATATGGCAAACACACATTAAAAAAAAATTAGATAGACAATGGTAATGACCTTGTTCTGTAAAGGTAGGCACTGAGCTTCAGACTGGTTACAAAAGAACATATTCAAGTGCTGGAATGAGATAGAAAGCATCATTAACTTAATGATTACCTCTCACCGCCTGATGATGGTCAACACACATCTAAACAGGGCCCTAGACACCAACATATAACCCACATAATTGCCGTCATAGCCTTGTATTCAAAGCTAACCTGATTTAAACTCAAAGAGCCTTCGTGGCCACTTCCCAGATGATAGTCTTGGTTTATATGCTCGGTGTGTGTTTGGACTGTTGGCATGCAGATGTGTGTGTTAACGTCTTAGTTCCTGTCTGCCCATCAGCTGTCTTTCAGTCCCCTCTCCTCTCTTCCTGACCTCTCACCCTATGTGTGTGTCCGTGTGTCTCCGTATTACCCGCAGAGTCTATTATTGGTGTTAAGGTCTGTTACCATGCCAGCTTATATTAGTATCAAAGCTTATATCCTTCTGTCTATATGTTAGTTCTGGTGTATATTCTGTCTCATACTGCTCATGTCTTCCTTATTTTAATCAGCTACGCTTTCTATTTGCAAACTAGATCAGCCTTCTCTTCTGTGTCCTGTTTTCTCTCGTCCTGGTCTGAAGCAGACTCAAAACACCATAACTTCTCCCTCTCTCCCTTAACCCCTTTTGTTCAGCAAAATATATTTTTGCTCAGCTGCCTCTTCCCCATTTCCTACTCCCAAGCTTCATGCACTCTTGCTCATACCACACCCACATTTATGTGTATATATATATATATATATATATATAAAAAGGCAAAGATCAGACAAACAAGACAAGGTACAAAAAGGATTTCATGCTGTTATAATTAGGCAACAGCATGCTTAACAATTAAGCTTCAGTTATTTTTAGTAGAATCTCACCAGCTCTTACAACCTCTAATTGCTGGCAAATAAGCAGCCACTTGTGTATTTTTTAATTGAAGGCAAAAAGCATTTTTTCTAAAATTAACACTTTGTGTTTTATACCTTTTTTCTGTGTTGGTTGAAGTTCCTTTCAGCTTGAAAGAGCACAAACGGAAGCACTCAAAATTATGTTTCGATAAAACATCAAAGCACCTGTTACAGCGTAAAGACAAACCTTGATGTTATTTATATGGACGAGATTAACCCCGGTAGTTAAGCTTGTTGTACACAATCCAGTTCGTCTATCATTTTACATACATGACTTTCCATAATTATTTTCCATCCCTACACATACATTAAACCCTGTTTGTCTAATTGGTCATTTTAACATCCAATGTTGTGTTTCAGAGATGAGCTCGGAGAACATGCGAACCTGCTTTCAGATCGTTAATGCCTACTTATATTTGTCTGCCACAGACTTCTTACAGGTGAGACACACACACACACACACACACACACACACACACACACACACACACACACACACACACACACACACACACACACACACACACACACACACACACACACACACACACACACAGTTTTAAACTGCAATATAATCCACATCGAGTAAAACGTTTAATCCACGTAAAATGTAAAACTCCCCCTTGCCTATATTTTTCTTCAGAACTATGCAGAATCCTTGTGCCGAGCTTTCTGCGCTCTGCTGAAAGACATCACAGATGAGGGGCAGGTCCAAGTGCTCAAGGTACCCTCACCCTATCCCTCTTCCACATAACTTTATTACTTCTGTTGATTCTCTTGTTCTCTCAGGGTTGTTTTATTCACTCTCCCTTCTTAAGTTCCACCATAGTGATGTTTTGTTTGGTTGGCCTGCTGAGCAGCATGTTCGCTAAGATAGACATTAAATGCAGCACACACAGACACACACCCATAAACAAACAGACAGCGCTGCTTGTGAATTGATACTATGTTATATTGCAAGAGGAGCCTTGATATTCTCACTTCTAGTAGATTCTCATTTCCAGCATTCACAATTAGGAACTTTCTAACTGTCTTTTTTCACTCTGTACTCAGGGGTGGATGCTAGGGTTAACCCTTGGCTCCCACAAGCCCCTTAATTGGGCCACAAATCTGAATGGCATTACAGAAAAGGCATTAAGGAAACTCAACACAACGTTTATTGAATTTAACTCTTCAATTAAAAATAGATTATCATAAAGAAAATTTTAAATAAGATAATGACAAATGAACTTTAAAATAAGTACTTTTTTATGGGTTAAGGTTAGCAGGATAATACTTTTTACGTTTTTCTTGGTTTACTTCAGTGTGCGCGTGTGTGTTCGTGTGAGTGCTTGTATGTGTCCATGGGAGTGTGTGTGTGTCCATGTGAGTGTGCACATATGTTGTTTTCACCGCTTCAGTATGCAGAATGCCAAGGAGCTTTAGCTTAGCTTAGTAAAGCTCAGTGGCATTACGGCACATCTGGCTCATGCTAATCCTTTGTTCTATAAAGAGAGAGCCAGCAGACAATAAACCTGTCAACCTACACACGGTGTGCACACCGCGTGCACACCGTGCAGCTCGCCACACACGGCCTCCCTGAGAACATAGGGATCAGAGTAATAAGCCTGTGTTCCTTTGAAAAGTTCACATGTATTTACACACTTACAGAGACGGATATAGCCTCTCAGTGCCTGTCCCTGTGCTTCTGTGTTTGCTGACCTTTCAGTTAAACATTCCCATTTGAGGCTTACATTTGCAAATTGTGATGTTAAAGTGTTGCATCATCATTTTGTTTTATTCTGGATTAATGATGTTCAGTCTCCCTGAATAATGATCGGGGAAACTGAATTCCGTCCCTGTCCTTTCAGATTAGTTTTTGTGGCTAAATGTAAATATGACTGAGGTGTTTTTCAAGCTCATGCATTTCTGAACCTTTCAGAATACTATGGCCTTCATGAAGGTTAGGATGTATTGCAGGTAATGCTGTGCAAACAATTAATGTTCTGTAAATATCTGGATATAAGATAGATATCATCTAATATTTTGGATATTATAATATGACAGAAGTGTTTTCTTCCCTGTTTTTGAAGCTGAACTTACCAGAATGTTTTTGCTGTTCTACTTTTACCCACTATTTTTTCAATACTGATGATAGATTATATTTATAAACGTTTAATGAAAGCACCAATATTAAACCCTACAATATTTCGCAAATATCGTTATTAATGCATTTGGTTAAAACATATAGCATTTCATCGTATTGTGGCACTGTTTTGTTGCCGTACTTATTCTTTTTATTTCACCTTAAATGCTCATGCAAATTTCTTGGGAAACTAAAACTTAAGGAAATGACCTTGCTGCACATTGTAGGTCAGACCCTCAATTTTAAGGAGGCTTTTCTACACTCTTGTATTATCTCTTGAAAAATGAAGCTCACGTTAACTCCCTTTTGCCCCGCATGACCTCCCACACTTTGCTGCCTTTTATATCATCCTTTGTCTGATACCGACTGCCTCTCCTTTGGCACACTCCTTTTCTGGCCCAAGTTCTCCCTTCTGTTTCTCTTTGCTACTTTCCTTACTTTCCTCTCTGAGTACCGTCTCTAATCCTCCCTGTTCATGTGTCTCTGCAGGTGGTAGAGATAGCTTTAAAGGTTAGCCCCATACTGGGAGCCCACATGTTCCAGCCCCTGCTGCCAGCTGTCTTCAGAGGTATCGTGGACGGTGAGGTGAGTTTTACCTCAACACGGATCAGAACTTGAATAATGAAAAATGGAACAATGTGGAAAATATGTGTAATAATCCCTATGGTGCATATTCAGTAATTTACTGAATACTTTAACATCTTATCCTAATAAAGTGTCCTGCTCCAGCGTCTACTTTCAGTTTGCCCTTTCGTGTCACTGAAAAATGAATTATTATGGAGACTGTATAGTGGTGTTCATTGATCAGCTCAGTTAAGGGTCACAGGATGCCTTTCAAGGATTCTGCTGTGTCAGTAGACCCATCATCTTTCCCCTTATCATGCTTAATGAACTTTACTTTATGTAAAAGCATTTGCTCATGGTTATGTCTCCACGTCAACATGAGTGATTGTGTATATACATCGCTGCGTGTGTGTGTGTGTGTGTGTGTGTGTTGTACAGAGATATCCTGTGGTGATGTCCACCTACCTAGGAATTATGGGTCGCGTCCTGCTCCAGAACTCCAGCTTCTTCTTGTCTTTGCTCACTCAAATGGCCTCGGATCGCAGCCAGAAGGTGAGATTTGATGTTCCCGCTTCGTTTCTGTCTCCTCAGCATAAGTCTCTGTGAATATTTGAAGACACAACATGCAAAGTGCCCGTTAAAAAGGGATAACTCTGAACGAGGCCAACGTAATGAGCCAAGGAATTGAAAGTGGGAACCGGTTCAGAACGTCTCGTTTTGAGTGGTCATCCATTCACCGTGAAACCGTGACATATTGTTTTTCTCTGAGCAACATTGACTTTTACTTGTTTTGTAGACATTTTAATTGATATAGCCCAATATCACAAAATGGCCTCAGGGTGCCTTTAACGTTCTGCCTTTATCTTTAAGAGTTGTCTCCTCATCACACACTCGTGTTTTGACTTTGTTCACTTTTATGTAAACAGTAGACCCATATTTAAATATATAAATAATATCTATCGTTACACTGTATATTAGGTTGTCAGTCTCTTTTTATATGACTCTTTCTTAAACTCTTTGTATATTTAATTGATGTCCTCTATAATAATAATAATAATACATGGGACTTATATAGCGCTTTTCTGGAAACTCAAAGACGCTCTATTTGTGTCTCCACTTCCGTTCCCCCACTCTCTCCTCATCAGATGGACGAGTTGTTTGGCAGTGTGATAGAGATGTGGGTCGACCGCATGGACAACATCACTCAGCCAGAGAGGAGGAAGCTGTCCTCTCTGGCTCTGCTTTCCCTTCTTCCATCCGACAACAGGTGAGAAACATGTGTCATTCATTTATGTGCAGATGTGGCTTTGAACTGGCGGGAAGTGAAGAGACATACTTCACACATTGAATTACTCAGCTTTTTGTTGTTGACTATAGCTGTTGGAATTATCCTTCTTTGAGAGATCTGTGTTGCGTAACAAGTTTATTTTTCAGTTTAAAAAAAAAAGGCCTGGCTCTTAGGCTGCAACAAAGATGGGAGACCAGACAAGTTAAGTGTAACAAAAAGGATATTTATTTACTATAACAAAAACCAAAGGACTTCAAAGAAACCTAAGCAAATGTGTAAGTCAGTCATCAGTAACTATTGCGTATGGGTGTGTGAAATGTGCAGAAACAAAGACGCGGCCGTGTCCAACAGAAGAGTGAGAGGGCAGTATGGGTTGGTGTTGGCCTTTTATGTTGACAGCCCAGGTGTGACTCATCAGGTTGATCACCTGAAACACAAACAAGAGCGAGCAAGCAGAACCCAAACGCAGAGACCCCTAGTGGATGGGGAGGGGGTCGTAACATGAGGCATGGCTAGAATGGGTGATCTGTTTTTTTGTTGTTGACCAAAACACTTCATAGACATGTCTTTTGTATTTTTTTATATATCTGAGACCTATGCTATTGCCTAAAAATATCATGATAGGTGACCTTTAAATAAAAAGCAATGTTGATTTTGTTTACAATTTTGTTTAGTTGATTTAACTTTTTTTTCTTCTAATAACCGATTAGAGTACCGCTAAAAGACCGGATCGATAAGCGGTATCGATAGTAGTAGTAGTAGTAGTAGTAGTAGTAGTAGTAGTAGTAGTACAGTTAAAACCTTAACGATACCCATCCCTACTCTAGACACCTACACATGTTCTATTCATTTCTATTTTGTCTAACTTAACACCTCTCTTTCTGGGCCGTCTATGAGAGACATGCACAGTGAATGGTAAATGTGTAAATTAGCCAGTTTATTCAAGAGCATGAGACATTTCTCTGTGCCTCTGCTGCTGTGAGTTATGTTTGGGCTTCCCTTTGTGCCTGTGTGGAATGATTTAGATAATTGTATATGTGTAGCACAACTATTTAAAATGTGGTGGATTATTGTTCAAATAAATCTTCTGAGGTTGTTAAATGTGAAATTTACAACACAGACAGTTACTTCAAGCGCCAAATAGTCAGAGCAGAAAGTATTTTAGTTAAATCTGAGGTTGAAAGTAACCAAAGCATGTAAGTGCGACTCGTGTAAACAAATGGAAGTTATTTAAAAAGCTCTTTGCAAAGTCCAACATGTTGTCAAAGCATGTTATTGTGCTCCAACTATTGTTTTCAAAAACTATCTCTTGACAAATGTGTTTTTTTGTACACCTCAATGTGGCAGAACTTCAGGAAGGCCAACTACCAAACGAAAAAAAAAGATTATTCTCTCTTCAAAGGAGTTTTCTCATTTCATTTTCCAAGGAAAAGTTCTCTTGAAGTGGTTCAGAGGAGTAACTGTTGGATTTAATGATGAGCTTTTCTTGTGATGTCCCATCTCACTTTGGTGCTGCGGGTTTTGATCAGGATTTTGTGAAGCTCCATTTTCTGAAATGAAGATATGGTATTCATAGACAGGCATGAAATCCTATGTTATGCCCCCATCCTCTTCTCAACAGCAAATTAATTATGACAGCAACGGCTGGTTAAGTGCTGCATGACTAATCAACTCTCATATAGTCGGAACAAAAATCAGAAGAGGTCCATATCTTGTTCGTAGCTGCCCTTATGGCTCAATATATAAAAAGTTCTATACGATGTAACAAAGTGAGGTATTTAGCCAAAGTCATACTGTACTGTATGTGTTACTGGTATTGAACAACGAACCACAATCTTAAAGATGTACATGATAAACCATTTATTTTCACCCTAATGATTTTTTGTTTCAAAAGTATTATTGAATAATCACAAGTAAATGTAGACAGATGAAGCTTTTCTAGCAATCATTTAGTGCCACAAATGAGCTGTTGTGTGTAGCAGACGGGAGATAAGAGCATGTTTGAAAACAATTTAGCCTTTGTATGTGACTTAACGAGGCGGTCTGATAAGTGTGTCTTTTCACTTTAGATACTCAATTTACGAACGCTCTCAGTAGTTATCATTTGAAGTTTGTTTTTTATCTCTTTTAATGATAAAACATATGATCATGGAAGGTGATTAACAGGAGGTCAATGGCTTATAGATGTTTCTGGGCATTAGGAATAAGGCATATCAATAATTGCTTTTATGTAGAATAGATATCTGTTATAAAGATGTGTGTTGTCAGTCAGGGCTCTTCCTTCAAATAAGTTAAATAAACAGAAACCGACACTAGCAGAGTTAATTTTAGTAGCCTTAGCCATGCATCAGTTGACTTGTAACATTTATGATTCCAACTTTACGTCTTCAAATTCATGTCTGAAATAGAAAATGTGGTCCAGCATTGAATATGCTTCAAGGGATAAATGTAAAAAAGGCAACGCTACAGGGGTGTGAAACTGCTGCAGGTATGTGATATGTGGTTTAAGTATTCACTTGTGCATTTCTTGTTATTCATGGTTGGATAGGGTGCTTCACTCTGGTGGAGCAGAAATCATAACATTTCTTTAATATACTTGCAGTTTGTGTCTGCTTCATTTAAGAGAGGGATGGATCATTTGTTTATGCTATTATCATATATTACAGAGTAGGTGCTGCCATTGAAAATTGCATCCTTCCTGTTTTCAGATGATGCATCACTGTTCATCACGTTCAGAATGTCTTGTCAAAGCATCTGACAGAATGCTTTTTCACTTTTTGCACTTTTAACAGATTTGCATTGGATCTGTCAACTTCTTCTTTTTTTGCTTAGTTATAGCATAGTCATGCATTCAAAGAAGGAAACCTGTTTGTCCTTTTGATGAGATGTATTTCGAACTTTCTAAAACTTTTGTGCAATCTAAGCGCACTAGAATGTTTGTCTTTGTATTAACATGCACAGCCATGAGGCTATTTTCACCCAAGACTGCTTTTGTCATCAGAACCTCTTGTTCAGCCATGTTTTTGGCACTCCCAGTTCATCACCACTGACAGTTTGCTTAACGATGGAAAAGCAACAAGAACAAGGACCTTAAGAAATCAATATGCACATCTTTATGGCTGGGATCTGCTGTGCTCACATTTTGTCTAATCGCCATTATATTGGGGTCTTCTGAAAGTTTGTAAATGAACTACGTGCAAAGGAATCAAATATTCTCCTTGTTCATTTTGCCTTACTACATTCAGCCATTTGATCTCTCTTCTTGTAACACAACACCACAAGTGTAAGAAGTGCTCCTGGTTATAGCTTGCATATAAGCATTGTAGGGCTGCCCTATATTAGTAAATAAATCAACTAAACATTAAAAAAAGAGTCACAGACAGCTTAATGTTACATGCATTAAAAAGTATTAAAGTACAAAATAAAAAGTTATAATAAAAATAAAAAGTTCCACAATTTACAAAAATACACATCCTATAACATATTGCACATAGTTGGTTAGTATTTAACAGCAAGGGTCTGTGTGTGTGTGGGGGGGGGTCTACTAGGGGCTGTGCTGGTTGTATAGTCTGACCGCTGCAGGAAGGAAGGACCTGTGGTATCTCTCCGTGAGACAGCGGGGGTGCAGCATCCTGTCACTGAAGGAGCTGCACAGTGAGGACAGGGTGTCCTGGAGGGGGTGGGACACACTGTCCAGCAGGGAGGACAGCTTGGCTGCCATTCTCCTGTCTCCCACCACTTCCACAGTGTCCAGAGGTATCCCCAGGACAGAGCTGGCCTTTCTTACCAGTCTGTTCAGTCTCTTCCTGTCAGCAGCCGAGATGCTGCTGCCCCAGCAGGCCACACCTTAGAAAATGGCTGATGCCACAACAGAGTCATAACAAGTTTGTAATGGTTTCAAATAAGACAAGACTTTCTAAGTGCTATAGGGTTATACGGTGTTGACTGACTTATTTCCCAGAAACTTATGAGCACATCTCCCTTTCTCTTTAAAATCGTATTGTCTTAGTTGACTAAGAATGTCTATGGTCAAGGACAACCCCAAATGCATACATATCTGTGTATTTGCATGCAATGATAAGTCAATTATTACAAATATATCAATATCTTTGCCAACTGTGACATTAGACAAGTTGTCCTAAATATCTTCTCACTACTGCTATTAGAAAATATTTTCAAATAAGTATTCAATACAAAATAGCATACCCCTTGCTTTCACTTTGCTAATGCAAAAGTTGTAACAAACATAAATTAACTTGACACAATCCTTAGTCCTGATTTATTGCACTCGCCACATAAATCAGTATAGTACTTGTGCTTCGGGACTAATACACATTCTAATAGTGATTCAAATGTAATGCTGTGCAACCTTCACAGGCCACTAACCGCTGCCTCCTGCTGTTCATGGTGGAGGAGGACACAGAGACGGTGTTTCTGATCTTGTAGAGTGGTGCCTAAAACCCGGAAGTGAGTTAGCATTTTACCACTTTTTGTTTTTTACCACGAAAATAGCTCTAAATAAGGTCTGTGGTTTACACAAATTTAAGAGACGGATTAAGTTTGGTTCTACAACATTAAATACATCAGCAGTGACCCCACTTATGTGTCTGGAAAACGATGTTTGTTAACAAGTGGCTGAATGCAGCTTACAGTACTTCTGGGTCGTTTATTTGTCCCTTTTCAAATAAACTATTAAAGGGGAAAAGGGCCTACAAAAGTCTGTCATCACTGCACCACTCTATTGCTGCGACCAGTTTGTCTTCGCATGCAGACCTTCAGCTTTCAGATCATGTATCTCTTGCACTGATTTGAATGGCAGCAGCTAACACTAGTCAGCCTTTAGAGAATAATCAGTGGAGAAGTGTTGGCCCTGGGTAGAATTTGAATTTGACAGGCATGTTTAAATGTGTGATAAGGGATCGTTGATACAATGCCTGGAACCATTTGTTGCTATGGCTGCCAATTTGAGAAGTTAAAGTTGAGAGAAGAGGTGTTCAGCTATGTATTTTACACTCCAAGGATGTTATTAGTGAAATGTTAGAACAACCAACTGTTTTATATAATTCACCTGGAACATATTCCATTCTCTTTTGAGAAAATCCTTTTTTATCCTTGAAAGGACTTTATACAAAACTAATTTCATATTCAGATCTTCGGATCAGGGGAGCACTGGTTCAATCCCCACTGCAGTCAGCATGTCGTTGTGTTCTTGGGCGAGAAACTTCACCCCAAATTGCTCCTGTGGGCATTTCCCAAAGTATGTAAGTCGCTTTGGGAAAAAGCTTCTAACAAGTGACATGTAATGATTGAATATTGCCTCCAAATGGCTCTCAACATGGAAACAGCTGAGATGTTGGCTAGTAGCTAACAATACTAACAGTTCAAACAGCCACATTGCTGACAGGGCTACCAGTGCTACCCAGAGGGTGGGCATTATGCTTCCACAACAGCGCACTTGGTTGGGAAGTCTTTTTCATCTGTAACCACCATATTACTTTTGCGTTCTCTGCTCAGCACACAATTACTCCACTATATCTTTAACAGAGTTAAAAAGTGTTGTTATATTAATGTTTTGAATGTCTTATAGATAACCTTTATACAATATTTACCATATGAGTACCGTAAATACTTCAGTAGCGATTCCCATTCATAATAAATAAGAGACAGCTCTATGTGTACAGGATGGGTATGTATTTGTCATGCACTTTCTTTCAGTTTTTTGCCCGACTTCATGCTCAGTGGACTTCATCCAGCATTGCCTGGGGTCTACCTAGCCAAGCACTCCGCCTGATAGAACCTTTGATGCCTCAGTGCCCCTACTCCACATACATGCTCTTTGTCTCTTTGTTTTTTATTCCTATTGTCATGGGAAACACACTTCCATCTTTTCCATTTTTTTTCAAAGAATGATTCAAATAATTAATCAATCACTACTGCTGGTCTCAAAGCATGAGATGTGGGTGTTGTGAGCGAGCATATTTAAAAAAAAAAAACCTCCGGTTCAGCTAGATAAGGCTCTGCAATGTTCTTTAGCTGGAAGAATCACTCCAGTGACTACGATGAATACGAGACTTGCAGGCTGCAGGGCTGTTTGTAAAGGCCTCATTGACTTTTATTGTTCACACATCAAGTGAGGCAATAAACTCTGATTACAGCTGGACAATTACCATTAAAATGTGTGATTTATCATTGCAATGGGAACATGTTTATGTGGGATCAAAAAAGTTATGTTTTTCAACATTTTCCCATATGAAGGTTTTTTGCGCTTTTTTTTGGTGCCAGTTCAGTGCAAACATTTGTGAGTGCAGATATATACACAAACAATTAGTCCTGACACGTATTTATGACGTGATTTGATAGAGGTCATAGATAGGCTACCCTTATTCCTTGGATAGCCGTGTGTTTTTTTTTTACAGGATCTTACCTAGACTGCTGCTCTCTGCTGTCATGATGCTCTTGATGACCATTTGCGTCTTTAAACAGATACCCTCCCTCTATATATATCTCGCTATTCACTCAACACACACAAACACACAACTGTTGCATTTGAACCTTATGATTAATGAGTGTGTCATATTTTTATCAGTGTAATCCAGGACAAGTTCTGTGGCATCATCAACATCTCCGTAGAGGCGCTGCATGATGTTATGACAGAAGATTCTGAAACAGGCACCTTCAAAGAGTAAGTATGCATGTTTCTTACGAGAAAACTAAGAAATAATCATACAGTTAAACCTTAAACACACAAGTGAATTAAGATTTTAGTTTTAGAAAGCTCATGCATGATACATGAAGATGTTTGAAATGTTGTTATGAAGCTGTGACACTGCAGATTTGCTGTTGGGTTTTTGCTGTGATATATCAAAAACAAGAAGAAGGAATGTAAATTCTTGCAATAAAAGCAGTCCCTTACATTACAGCCCCCCTTTGAATGTGACACACTCTCCCCTCTGGCTGTCTTTCCTAGGAGCATTGTGCTCTTTTCTTTATAGATGTTAACCTACTGCACATGAAAGCTCCTTGAATACTCCAGTGTGAACTAAAAGATTGGGCAGAAAGATTAGGATAAATGTTTCTTAGTTTGAAGCTGATGTGTTGAATTGTTTTAATAACTGTTGTTTCACAGTTAATGCAATCAACTGAGACGGAAAGCAGTCAGTATTGTCATTGTGTCCATCTTCTGTAAAAGCTAAATCAATCTCTTATCATAAATCGTTTGGAATTGTTCTTTTGTGATAATGAATAAAAAAGAAAGTCTTGCTGCCATGGATAAATCATGTACAATATGAATGGCAAATAGGATCACTGTGTAATATTTTAATAACTTCAACCCAAGTAATTACAATTTGAAAAGAAAAGTTAAACTACAAAATTCTTAAAGGGAGGGAATCCTCATGACACACATTTTTAAATAATTATCATCCGATAAAACAGACCAGTCTCTGCCAGTTTTTTTTTAGTTTTTTTTATCCGATGACGTTATCAGTGATTTTAAGCTGATTAATTACCGAAATAACATCAACCCTGTGGGCGGCGCCATTTTGACGAGTCACATGACTTATTTTACCGGAAGTGACGTGAACTATGCGTTTGGTGTCGAGGACAAATTGACGTATGTGCTTTGTTCATGTTGTTACTCTAGTTACTCTCACAATTCTATTGAAATATGCCTCATTGTATCGCGAAACATTGCCACAATTCGGATAGGAACAATCCACGGAATGCTCCGGAATGCTTTCTTTATTTGATTGATTAACTACTATGGAATTTATTCAACTACATTGTACCATTATTATATTAGACAGGGCTGCCAACACTCACGCATTGAGCTTGCGAGTCACGCAATTAACCCATATCTCACGCACTCACGCCACACTTGCCTTTCCTCACGCTAAGTTTTCGTCCAAAACAAATGTATATAAAAATAAAGTGAAGGAACAGCAAACCGAGCGGTCTACGAAATGAGACGGTCTTCTGGCTTAGTTCAGTAAAGTTGGAACGATATTGGAAGATTCCGATTTCATGGATCAATAACTCATGAAAACGTTATTCAGACACAAATGACCTCTCCTAAGTACCGTGGTAAGGTTGACAACGAACTACAATCACATTTTGATTAAAAAAAAGCCAATACGCGCCATCCTGCGAGATGGGCACATTACATTGGTCTCTATCCGCAGCCGGAGAAGAAACGAGTGCTCAGGGACCGTCTGCAAAGTGCAACTCCCAAAAAAGAGAATACAATAATATTCAATCACTATTATACAGCTTATTACTACCAAACTCACTACACACATCAATAGTCTCCTGGTGGTCATACTACAGCAAGGAGTTTGGAAGAATATGCTTTTGAATAATTTTGGGGAATATTTATAATGTAACATTTTCTTCTTAAATAACTTTACTATTATACAGTATATTTCTACCAAACTCACTATTTGCATTGTTGTTGTTAGCATCTGGTTAGCTTAACGGATAACAGGACTATTAACCCATACTGTAGGCTAAAACTTCTCATGAGTTGTCGGACGACGAATGAAAATCACTGATCTTCGCGATGCGTCATAATACATGTGTACGTCGTAGGTTATCGTCACTACAGTGACCACACGTACTACTTTTCGTCGACAGTCTCGAAAACTTCGACTCTCCACCGGGAAATTTTGACCAACTGACAAGGGAGACCCTTAACTGCATCACCTGGTAGAAAAGACACGAATGACCGTCTACTCGATGTATAAATGACGCAGAGATTTATTACCCCGATTCAAATCAATTCTAATAAAGATATAACAAAATACTTCCGGTCCACATCGAATATTTCGATGATGTCGCGGGCTCTCGCCTGATAGTCCTCCTCTCCCTGCAAATACGAAGTCGGCGTACTGTTCATTGTAGTTTATAACCTCGAGTAAGTTAGATTTTTACAGTATAATGTTAATTTTGTTATGTTTCCGAAATAAGTTGACGATGTTACACACAATCATATAAGTGGACGTGGTCAAAGAAGGAAACGGAGGACGAGTCAACCGCCGAGGAGTAGTAGTGAAGTCGAACCGCAAGGAGTTTTGCACCAGTAGTCGTACGTCGGACGGTTTGTGTTATTATAAAGTTGAGTACGATAATTATTAGTGTGTTTGGACCTGCGATCCTCTGTTAAAGACTTGTCGACTCGTAAGTGAGTGTGTCTGTGTGATTTTTCCGACTTGGAGACGCGTGACATTACGTGTCGGGACGGACGGACGATAAAGTCTAACCCAAGTAGTCGGTACGTCTCTCTTAGTGTTCGTTTGGGAAACGCCGAGTCAAGTTCGCAGACGTTTCAGAAATAAAGGAAACAGCAAAAATGAGTAGGAATAACAACTCCTCTCTATGACCGATCGTCAAGAATTTACAGTGTGAATCACTGAAATTGTTACAACGTACGTGAATCGACTAGTGTTTACGAATTGTTCAACAAACGATTTGATATTAATTTTACATTTGATCCCTGACGCAAAACATGAGATGTTTAGAATATAGTGATGTCGGCATATAACCCTGGTTTGTCGGGTCTGTGTCGAATCTCAGGTTGTGCCATTTGCAAATCACGCCCCGTAAAATCGTCGAAGTCTCCAGAGGAAATCGGTCGTGGTTGCGTGGAGTTTCCTCGACGTCACGCATGGTTAAGAGAGGTGATCGGAGACCGGGGTCTCAGGTCAAAATGAAAAAAAGCAGGATACAAGTTTATCGAAAATTTTGGTTATGAAAGAAGGTAACAACCGACTCGTTGTTACTGCTCTACCACCCGTATTCTCGCTGACTCAGTGGTCGAAAAAGTGTACCCCATAATTGTGGTAACAAACTTTTTCTTCGCGAGAGTCGGAACTAGATAGATCCCCCTTCTGCACCGTCCTCGCCCGAGATGAGTATGTTCAGGAAGCCACAGGTTTAGTTGGTTTTTTGATCCCGACGAGGTTGTTGTCTGAGAGAGAAAATCGCGGTTATGTCTCCGTCAAATATGGAGTAACTCCTCTGTGTCTTAGGAGTCATAAATGTTGCCTAGACTTCTAGTCCCCGACGATATCGGGTTGTGTGATAAAAACTACTTTCAGATCATCTATAACATATTAGAATATCATAATTAATAATACCCAACCGGTATTTTTTAACTTTAATTTTATTTTCAACCCAATAGACATTTTTTTGAAACTATACCATTGTAAAGATAAAATTTCCTGTCCGAGGTCGAGTTGTAAATACAAATTTGGTATGGGACTTCGTTTAGTCGCTACTAAGGGGGCCATTTATACTATAAATATCGAGAAAACAATAGAGTTTTGTACGATAATAAGCAGTCCGTACGGTAATAACGCGGTGTCATCAGTGTAATAGGCTTTTTTGATCAGCACTGCAGTAGATACTGCAAGTGAAAACATTTTGGCGTCGGAGTAAGCCTGCTTTTAGTACCGCCCTCGAACACTCAAGCCTCAGCGAGTCGGCTCCCCTTCGTTCAAAACTCGTTAACAACCTCTCTAAACCTACCCCTAGTCCTAAGTCCGGATGTCGCAAGCTCGGTTCACCGGTCTTGGCAGCATCCTTAGGTCCCTGTCACTGCTACTCCTACTGTCGTGTTCCGCATAGAAGCACGCTCTGCTGAGGAAATGGAGTACGTGTAACTAAAAGCCCCCCGGCTCATCCGCTCTTGACGGATGTACTTACCACATGAACGCTAGCCACACGATCCCGGTACACTGTTAGGAGAATACGATTGTATACAAACAGGTAACTCGAACATTCTCGAACTTTATTTTGACAAGTGTGCTGCTGAACCTAACGTTACAAATGTGTCCCTTAAGCGGTGACACCACCAATCTTTTTCGACATAACTCCTTGTCGTGACGCAACGTACTTCCTACACGTTTCGTGGCAGAAAACCAACTTGGTTAGTTTTACTTTCCACCGGCATGTACAACTGCGCCATGTCGGGAAAAGAAGAATCGTAATATATGAAATGTTAATAAATAATAATAATAAACATAATAATTACGCTTCATAGTTGATTTCCTGTAAAAATAAAAACCAAAATCCTTCAGACTTCGGCCTAATTCTAACCTTAACTGAAATAGTTTCAAAATATTACTGCACAATGTAAGATCCTCCTTTTACTAAAAAGTAGAGTTAGAGTACCGTTACAAAACGTGTTCGGACGGAGGTAAATGTCCTCATAAACACATATAGCGTGGTATGAGTTATTCCTTCAAACTACCAGAACGAAGTTAAGACGTGAAACCTCTCGTTTTACTTAAATATCCATTTGTCTAAAAGACAAAGAGAAATACCTATAAAAATGTTCTAGTGAGTTGGACAAATTTTGACATAAGAACGAAAGTGACAGTATATCATAAAGTATTGGACAAAAAGTAAATAAGAGGTTATTTAACGCACTTGGTTTTCCTCTGGGTGACCTCTATTGATCTATTTCGATAGATTTCGTCTCAGAGGAATGGAGTGACTCGACATCAATAGAGAGTCAGACTGTCCTGCTTGCCGAGAGGGAGAGTAACAATCCTTTCGTC